GCTTTTCTTTTTCTTATCTGTAACCCCAGTGTTTAGCACACTGCCTGGCATACCCTGGGTGCTTAATACATGTTGATTGATTGATTAGGAGTCATCATTAGATGACTCTAATTATAGAGGTGACAATTGAATCCACAGGAGTCAAAGAGATTGCCAACAAAGAATATATAGAGAGGAGGGAAGAGGGTACCAGACTCCTGAGGGACACCTAGGCATATATATATATATATATATATATATACACACACACACACACATATATAAACACTATTAGAAGCAGCTTGGATTGGGCGGGGGGGGGGAAAGAAGACCAGTTGTCAGGTGTAACTGGTTGCGTTGGTCAGGATTATTGTTATGGCATGTGCCTTTCTTGCTGTGATTGCTCATTCCTCAAGTGCATCTTTGATTCATCAATAACCAAGCTCTGCTCCAAACCTGCTGCTCAATGATAGAGGATTCTCTCTCTCTCTCTCTCTGTGTCATTCTTGCGTCCCTAGTACAGTGCCTAGCATATAGCAGGTGCTTCATAAATCCCTAGTGATCAACTGATTCAAGGAAAATGTTCAAGCTAGTGCTACTGCTACCCCTTTGGTATATTAATCTGATAATTATTATAGAACTAACTACTCCCCTATAACATTATTTCACTTAGCAGTTGTTTTTTCTGAAACCAGTTGACAATTTTCTGCTCTTAATTTAAATTCCCTATTAAAAGGAACTCTATCCTCTTATAAATGATTACATTGGCTTTCTGGTATAACTCTTATGTGAGTTTGGGTAGTATGAGACAATTCTGCCTATAGCCTGAACACTCCAGATGAACTAAATATTGGTGTCCAAGATTTTTCAAACCTGGGAGGCCTGATCATGAGGAACAGATTAGTAACTAATCTCAAGGGTTTTGTGACTATTTACCTATTTCCCTTACATGAGAAAGACCATGGACTATTCATGTGCATACCATCTTGGTTTGGCTTGGTTTTTATTGTGCAGTATTTAGCCTAATACTTAGCCCAAAGTGATCACTTGATAAATGACTTGGGTGCTCTGTATTGTTCTCTGCACATACTATGGACTCAATAATGTGGCTAACTGATTGCTTGGAGTAAATATTGTAAATTTCACAGAATCCTAGAATTCACAGAGGGTCGGTAGGAACCTTGGTTGACTATCTAGATCCCACATGTATAGAGGAATCCCTTCTATGACAAGTGGTATTCTAATCCCCACATGAAGAATTTCAGTGATGGGGAAGACCATCTGTTGAAGTAGGACATTCTACTTTGGGTCAGTTCTAATTATTAGCAAGTTTCTCCTTAGTCTAATTTAAAGTTGATTTTTTGTAATCCCCCGCCCCCCCTACATTTTTCTGCCCTCTGGGGAATAGCAATTCAAGTCTTATATATCTTCTATATGACAGTCTTTCAAATACCTGAAGACCCATCATATCTTCCTTCCCCCCATCCCAGTCTTCTTTTTTCTAGGCTACCTATTCCCAGATCCTTCCACTAGTCCTCCCATGTCATAGTCTTGTGGGAAGTCAATATAGTGTCATAGTGTTGTGGGAAGCCTGGCCACCCTCTGAGTATGATTCCTTACCAAAATGTGGTACCCAGAATTGAATCTCTACCCAGATGTGTACGACCAGGATGATTCAGTAGGACTATTACCTCCCCGACTCTGGCCCCTATGCTTTGATGTAGCTTTGTTAACTGTCACATCCCCCAGATCTTTTTTTTTTTCTCCTGAGAACTCTTGGTTAGCTGTGCTCTTCTCACCTGGTATTTTTGCAGTTGACTTTTTGAACCCATGTGTAGAACTTAACATTTGTTCTTATTAAATCCCATCTTATTAGAGTTGTCGGATTCATACTCTAGCCTAGTGAGCTTTTTAAAGTGGTCACCTCAACACAATACCTCCCAAGTTTTGTTTCATCGACACATAGGCTATTTATGCATTTATCTAAATCACAGCTAAAAATGTTAAATTCCAAAGGAATCAGTCTCTCATCAATCGAAAGTATCTATTAACTAACTATATACATCTCCAACCTCTAATCTAAAACTAGATATTTATCCCTAGACTTATTACCTAGAGGAACAAATAAATTACCCTAAAAGCTGTTATTTTTTTCATTAGGATCATTCCCTTTACAAACCACATCCATTTCCTTTCTAAGTTCACGTGGCTTCCTGCTGTGTACTTTTCTTGGCTAATTCTCCCTCAAGTATAAGGTCCCCTCCCCAGCCTCTAAGGCATTTGTTCAAGGTTCTCACCCATAAGCTTTGTCTTCACTTGCCCTGCCTGCTAGGTAGCTCTCTGAAAAACATTGCTGGATCACTTATCTGAGAACCGTACCTTACACTTTGAATTCCTTGTTCTCAGGCTCCATTGTCCACCACCAGGGGGCAAAACCCTTCAGAACAATCTTGGCTTCTCGACAATAATTCTCTACTGCAGAGGGACCTTGTGTGTCTCATTCTTGATGTAGCCTCCCCACTAATTATTTCAACCACAGGGCACCAGAGACATTACAAAGGCCCAGCACAGAGGGTTCTCTTAGCACTTAGGCAGTCAGCAGCCTGACAGCCTATCAATTTAAAAGGAGGCATTTGATTCAAGCATGTTGAGTGACAAATAAGAAGTGGGTTTTGATGACTCCCTAGGTCTCCATAGGATTTCTCTAGCTTTGATACTTATAGAGATGTTTGCCATAATATCCCCTCACACAGTAAGCATATCAACTCACAGGTTTAAGGACTGGAAGAGATCTTAGTGATGAGTCTCATGGAACTCAACCTTTTTGACTGGTGAAGCCTGTTTATGGACTCCTTAAAGTTCTTAACTGCACAAAAGACCTAGGATTACAAAGCAAACCAATCCTATTGAAATAGTTATCCAAATATTTTAAAAACAAGTTCACCCCAGGTTAAGAACTCTTGAAATAGTCAAACTCGCTCATTTTACAGGTGAGGAAATTGAGTAGAAAGGTTGAATAACTTCCTCAAGGCAACAAAGGGAATAAATTGTCGAGCTGGGATTTGAACCTATGTTCTCTGATTCCAGATCTCAAGCTTCTTCAACAATTTTGAACTCTCTCTTCCATCTCTGATCTCTATTGGCAGGTTTATCTTTCAGTGCCAGTTTCTGTATTTTTGTTTTGTTTTGTTCCGAATCATGGTTGTCTTTTTTTTTTTAAGTGTATAGGTCTCTTGGAAAATGAATAAATTCTTAAAAGAAATGTTGACTTCCACATTTCTCTTTTCAGAAGTAATGAAAACTAGAGAGGGAGGAGGGAGAGGGAACTACAAGGGGGAAGATTCTGTTGTCTCTAAGAATTTCTGGACACCAGAAAGGAATGGGGGGTGGGGCAGAACCAGCAATCGGTGCCCTTAAACTGCCTCTAACCACACCCTTCTCTTTCTCCTGGGTTCACTCAGCCTCTGAATCAGGGAGGAGGTAGGGGAGAATGGAAATAGGGGAACCTGAAAGTAGTAATGAGGCAATCCATTTTATAACATTTAAATCCATTGCAGCTTTTCTGGAATTAAAAAAGAAAAAGAGCCTAAGCTTCTAGGGAAAGGAAGACTTGGGAGCATAGAAAGAACAGATTGCCATCCAGGTCACAGAGATTTCTCCTGGACTCCTGGGGAAATCAATCAACAAAAATGTATTAAGCACTTACTATGTTCAAAAGACACCGCGTTGGGCACTGGGAATACAGACACACACACACAATAAAATGATCCCTGCCGTCAGTGAGCTTACAGTCTACTGGAGGAATACAATATATTCCCTTCACAGATGAAAAGTTACTAAACGATGGAGGGTGTGTGCTAACAGTTTGGGGAATCAAGAAAAACTTTTTGAAAATGGCCCTTGAACTGTGGTTTGAAGTGAACTAGGGTCAAAAGAGGAGGTGAGGATCATTGAAAACCTTTACACACGCAGACAGATGGTCTGTTATGTATGGAGAAAAGCATATAGGCCAATATGACTAGAACTTAGAGTTCATAAGGAGGAATAATCTATCAACAGTAGGGAAAGATAGACTACAGCCACATTATTCAGGGCTTTAAACGCCAGAGAAGCATCGTAAAGGCAATGGGGAGCCACTGAACATTTCCCAGCAGGTTAGTGACAGCTCAGTGACCCCTGCCGCTAAGAAGGGAGAGCATGAGCACAGGGAGACCACTGAGGAGGCCACGCTAAAAGTCCGGGGTTGAAGTGATGAGAGCCGGGACTAAAGCGGTTGTAGTCTGAGAGAAGGGGATGATGTTTGGGAGAAATACTCAGACTGTGAACTAGACAAGAGTTGGCAGTGAACCGGATGGGGAGGCTCGAGAAGGGAAGGTGAAGAGGGAAGACCATATGGCACTATTAAGATAGGACAGCCTTGTTAGACTGTCTTAGACTTAGAGGCCGGAGGGGCAATCTAGGTCAGCCCCCCTCGTTTTACATTTTACAGATGAGGAAACAGGCCCAGAGAGGGAGAGTGACTTGCCCAAAGTCCCATCCACAAGAAGTGACAGAGGCAGGATCTGAACACAGCTCCTCCAACTGCGAAGCCAGGCGAATTTCCTCGGTGGAGAGTTCGAGTCTCCCGCTTTCTTCTGGGCACTTATAGGTTCACTGCTTTAGAGCTAGAAGGAACACTTCAGGGGTCATCTAATCCACCCCTTCATTTTACAGATGAGGAAACTGAGGCCCAGGTGGGTGGAGTCCCTTAGGCTAAGGCCATCTAGTCCACCCCTCCTTCGTTTTACAGATGAGGAAACTGAGGCCCAGGCGGGTGGAGTCCCTTAGGTTAAGGGACGGGGCCCAGAGAGGGGACGTGACTTGGACGCGGTGCCACGGCGGCAGCGGTGGAGGGCAAATTTGAACCCAGGTCCTCTGGCTCCAGGGCCGGCGGTCTCTTTCCCCAGCCCAGCCCTCCTCCTAGCGCCCTCTCGTTGGGAGGAAAGCCAGAGTGGGGTGGAGGCCGGGGCGGGGGCACGCACGTTCGCTAGTTGCCGGCCTCGCTGCCTCGCTGCCTCGCTTGCTCGCTGCCTCGCTTGCTCGCTCGCCCGCCCGCCCGGCAGCTCACGGGTTAAGGCGGCGGCGCGCACGAGCCGCGGGAGAGGCGGTTGCTGACAGGTGGCGCCTGCGCACTGGGCGCGCTCATTGTGCCCGGCCGCTGCCGAACCGCCCGCCCGCCCGCCGGCCCGCCCGCGCGTCAGTGTGCGAGAGTCCAGCGCAGGGCGCGGAGCCGCGGGCCTCGGCCTCGTCCTGCTCCTCCCCCGGCCCTCCGTCCCGCCCCGGCCCCGGGACCCCCGCCGGCCGCCGGCCCTCCCCTGCCACCAGGAAGAGAATGCCCCGCGCCCAGCAGCCCAGCAGCGCCTAGATGGCTTTGGTCACGGTCCAGCGCTCGCCCACCCCCAGCACCACCTCCAGCCCCTGCGCCTCGGTGAGTCCCGGCGGCCGCTCCTGTCACTGCGGCTCCGCCGCCGCCGCCGCTGCCGCCGAGCCCCAGCGGGTCCCGCCGAGCGCTACTGCGCACGCGCCACGCGGCTTCCCAGGCCCTGGCACGGAGCTGCCCCTGCCGGGGGGGGGGGGGGGGAGGGCGGCAGCTGCGGCCGCCGGGCTCCGTGCGCCCCCCCCAGCCCGCTGCCGCCGCCTAGCCTTCCTCGGGCCGTGAGCCCGGTCCTAGCGCCCCCTCCCCGCAGAGCGAGCGCTGCCGCGGGGACCCCCGCCCGCCCGGGCTGCCGCCGGACCGGCTCTCCGGGGCCCGCTGGGACCACCCTCCCCCCGCCCACGGCTTCCTGGAGGGCCGGGGCAGAGGCATTCCCCCGGAGATGCCATCCTCTCCTCATTGCTCATCATCAGTCTCCTTCCCGGGTGGTGCGGGTGTGCTTGGGATGGCTAATGCACGTCCAGCATCTTCGTGGGTGGAACTAGCCAATAGCCTCTTCGCATGGTGTGACTTCCTTTTTTTTTAAAATTACCTTTTTTTCTCTGCTCCTTCATCTCTCAGGGTGTTGCTTCAGATAAAATTCATTTTGAGAACAGCAAGTGATTTTGGTGATTTTGTATTAAGGGCGGGGGGGGGGTGGAGCAGCTGGGCAGGTCCTATGAACCACTGATATTGGGAGCTGAAAAATTCAGTCTGTTTAATCAAAAAATGAATAAGAAGCAAAGAGGAATTTCCCCCTGAATTTTATTCAGCACTATAATAATTTGAATTGATTTTTTCCAGTTATCAAGCTTACTCTAATCATTCTTAAAGGGTGGTGAATTAAGTGTTCCCAAATTGGACAACGACGGTCAATAAGAATAGTTCCATCTTTCAGTATCTAAACATGCCGGTAACATTTGTAGTTAAAGGACCACTATACCAGTAGAGGAATGAGCTTGGCTATCATAAAGACATCCACTTTGTTTAATTTCAGGAGAGTTTCCTGGCTGTGTATAGTTTATTGCATATCATTCTATGACATGAGTCATTTTTGTGGCATGGACGGTGGCCACACTGACTACAGTGTCCTCATCTAAATATGACTGTTTTCTTCAGTGATTGGATTATTTTTTCTATTTCCTGATGACAGAGCTAGGACCAGAAGGGTGATAGTTACAGGCATAATCTTCTTGCCAGAGCTGTCCAGCTGTAGAACTATGTTAAAATAGGGAGCTCTCCATAGCTGTGAATATTCAACGAGAGACTGGACAGTCACCTGTCAAAGATGGTATAGAAGAGATTCTTGCTCTAGAAGGGAGTTTGGACCTGAGGACTTCTAAAGTGCCTTCTGAGGTTTTGTAACTCAATTATTAGCCTGCATTTCTGCCTCTGCAGGCAAGAAACATAGGAATGAGAATTTAATGATTTTTATTCTTGCCTGTGGTTCTTGAAGAAGTAGGGGGTCCCTCCCCAGGTTGTGTATAACAAGATTCTTATCATATTACACTATTGAACTTTGGGAAGAGCAGCTGTTTCCACAGTAGACTTTGGCCATGTATTTTGCAAAAGCTTATGTCACGAAGGAGGAGTGCAGAGGCGCTGTTGTACAGTGGAAAGAAGGCTGATCTCGGAGTCGTTGAGACCTGGGTTCAAATCCCTGACTAGCTTCGGCACCACAGACAAGTCATTTAACCTTTACAGATTAGTTGCCTAATCTGTAAAGTGCCTGCCATACTTAACCTCATAGGTTTGCATAAGACTCAAATGAGACAGTATATGTAAAGAATGCTGTGGACCTTGGAGCACTTTAGAAATGTCACTTATTATTATTATTATTATTGCCCTGCAAATAATCTAGTAGCCACAAACCCTAAAAACTTAAAAAGAAACCCAGTAGCTAACTTAAATTGATAGTATCAGGTGATGAGTTAGGAAAAATTGTAGTTTTTACTTGGGCTCTGTAGAGTTGCAGTCAGGAAGGCTATATTTACTTTATAATGATACATATTTGTAAAGGAGTGTAGCAAGTTACATCCATCCTCTTTAATTGAATGGGTATGCACAAAATGCTTCATGTATGGTAAGTCCATGTCTGCTGGAAGGACTTAATTGTCTGTTCCATACCACCAAGTCCATCTAATCCAATGGCCAGAATGACTAGATGTGCTGGGCTAGTCTGGTTTTTTTTAGGTCCGGGGCTCTGTTCCTGTCTGCAAAATAGGCTTAGGAAGGTATGAGGTTGATGAACACTTTTTTTCCACCATGTAGATTTTTGGTTTTAATTACCTGAAGGGCAGATTTATTGGCCTGTTTTATCTTGTGAGCCTGCTGTTACCTGTGCCTTTAAATTGTCTTCAAATTGCACTTCTCTTATTAAGTCTCTTATTAAGCTTCCTTTTGCCACAATATTAACTTATCCTGTAGATATTTAGATTGAAATCTTTCTGCTGCATGGAACAGTTGGTTTGAAAGTTCTTTGAAAAGTCTAAGAATCGTAAGAGAGGTAAAAGGAATAAAGCGATGTGTTTTGATCCTGAAAGTTTAAATCATTTTATTGATCAGGTGAATTCTTATGTCTGTACTGTGGAAACTTTACAAGCAACTGTGCCCTACTCTTTTTTTTAGCATTCAATAAGCATTTATTGAACTTAATAGATGGCAGACACTGTACTAGATACCGTTGCTGTTTGGCTGTGTCCAACTCTTCGAGACCCTGTGGACGACAGCATGCTAACACCGTCCATGGGGTTTTCTTGGCAAAGATACTGAAGTGGTTTGCCATTTCCTTCTTCAGTGGACTAAGGCAAATAGAGGTTAAGTGACTTGCCCACGGTCACACAGCTAGGGAGTGTCTGAGGCTGGATTTGAATTCAAGTGTTTCTGGTGCCAAGGCCAGTGCTCTATCCACCAAGCCACCTAGCTGCCTCCACTAGATACTGTACCAAGATGTGTAAAACATAAGGCTTGTTGATTTAGAGCCTAAAGAGGGAGGAGGGACTCAGATAGCATCTCATCACACTTCCTCATTTTACAGGTGAAGAGGGTTAGGCTCAGAGAGCTTAAATAACTTGCCCAAGGGGTCATGCAAGTGGTTCAGTGGCAAAGTCAAGATTTGAGCCCGAAGTCCTTTGATTCCAAATCTAGTACAGGCACGTCACGGGACGTTTTTGGTTTCCCAATGCATATAAAAGTTTTGTTTATGTTATACTGTAGTCTATTAAGTATACCATAGTATTATGTCTAAAAAACCATGTACATACCCTAATTAAAATTACTTTATTTCAAAATTGCTAATCATATCTGAGCCATCAGTGAAAGTCATAATCTTTTTGCTGGTGGAGGGGCTTGCCTTGATGTTGATGGCTGCTGACTGATCCGGATGGGGGGGTGGCTGAAGGTTGGGATGGCTGTGGCAATTTCTTAAAATAAGACAACAGTGAAGTTTGTTGCATCAATTGACTCTTCCTTTCACTTGAACACTTAGAAGCCATTGTCGGGTAATTAATTGGCCTAATTTTAATATCGTGTTTCAGGGAATAGGGAGACCGGAAAAGAGGCAGTCAGAACACATACGTTTATTGATTAAGTTGGACGTCTTATGTGGGTGTGTCCCAAAACAATTATAACAGCAGTGTCAAAGATTGCTGATCACAAATCACTATAACAGATGTGATAATAGTGAAAAAGTTTGAAATATTTCGACAATTACCAGAATGTTACACAAAGAGACAATATGAGCACATGCTGTTGGAAAAATGGCGCAGATAGACTTGCTCGAGGCAGGGTTGCCACAAACTCTTCAGTTTGTATAAATTGCAGTATACCTGCATTCTTTTGAGCTTCAGGATCTTACAGTCTAGTAGGAGAGATGAGACCTTCTACAGAAATAACTATAAATAACTTATTTGTGCCCCTTGAGTGACATAGACCCATGGTTTCTAGTCTGTGCGCAGAGGACTTCTTGGTAGAACTGAATTACTGCAAGTGGTTTGCCAATCCACCTGCTTTTTGTAGATTGAATAATAACTTATTTCACAGTATTATTATTTTTCAAATCTATTTAGATGCTACTATGATTAATAAAATGCAAATTTATTTAAAAGTATTACCGTATTCATAAAGCTTTTTGTCATTGTGTATTTTTTCAGTCAATGAATACTAGTAATAGATTTACTATTATGTGCAGAGTCTGAGAAATTCTTTGACCTCTAGACGGGGTTTTCATATGCAAAAAATTGTCAGCTCCAGGCATGGATTACTAGTGTTGTAGAAGTTCAGAGTAAGAGGGGGATCAGAACAGTTTTCACACTCTGGTATTTGACTTAGCCCTTGAAAGACAATTCCACTTTGGAGACAGGCAGGAGGGAGGTATCCTGCAAGCAGTGCAGCCGGGCTTTGTAGGGAAACGGGAGAGAAGTCTGGAAGGGCAAGTAGGGAAACACAGTGCCTGGGTGAGGAGTTTGAATTTTATTCTGTGCCCTTGGGGAGCCGCTGACGTTTGTGGAGTGGGGAATTGGCATGATCTTGGAGGCAGTACAGACTTGAGGCTGGGTCACCACCAAGTGCGTGGTAAGAAGGGTCTGCATGCTGATGGCTGATGTGGAGATAGGAAGGAAGGCACTGATCAGTTACGTGCTTGAGGTGGGATCTGCTGGGCTTGGCACCTGATGGTGTGTGAGGGCAGAGGGAGGCAGGAGTGTCACTGACGGCCCGAAGGG